CCCCCCCCCCCCCAAAAACCATGCCCTTCATATGTAGTTTTTCTGGTTCGACTGGAAGCCGGAATCTAGGGTTTTTCTTGTTCTCGCGACCGCAACGATGGTGATCTCTTCTTCCTCTTCTTCCTCGACATTCGGTTTTGCTTTTTGCTGATTGATTGCATTTCTGATCTCAATCTCGATGGTCTACTACGTGATGTTGGTTTTGGGGAATTTCAGGGTAAAGGAACGGGAAGCTTCGGAAAAAGGAGGAACAAAACGCACACTCTCTGTGTGAGGTGTGGACGCCGCAGTTTCCACATCCAGAAGAGTCGCTGCTCCGCTTGCGCCTTCCCGGCTGCTCGCAAGAGAACCTGTAATCTCTCTCTCTCTCTCTCTGTATTTGTGTGTGTGAGCCTTAGGATGTGAATGGAGCTTCTGGGTAGTTTCGAAATGATATCTGGGTGACGACGGAAGGTTCTTGTTCGGTTAATGTGTTTACTAGTATATAGAGAGAAGAGGGAAATCAGCTCATCGACTACCGTGTTTACTAGTTTTAGCGAATCGGTAACCTAAACGTTGTTTCTAGTGGAATTCGGCCACCTGATTTCATCGTTTCTCCACAAAGTTGGCATTTTTTTTGTGCGTAAGGGTTGTGATGTTTGTGCAAGCGAGATTTTACATCGTCTGTGTTTGGGTTTTGCAGACAACTGGAGTGTAAAGGCCATCAGGAGGAAGACGACTGGCACAGGAAGAATGAGGTATCTCCGCCATGTTCCTCGCAGGTTCAAGACCGGTTTCAGAGAAGGTACTCTTGATTCCCTGTTTCGATTACACGATCCTTGTCGGATAATCTTCTGGATTTTCTTGATTCTTGTTTCGATGACACGATTCTTGTTGGATAATCTTCTGAAGTGTTTCTTCTTGTCTGCCCTTTGGAAAGTGACTGCAACACAAGCGGCTTATTGGATTTTACATGTATTGTTTCATAGGTACGGAAGCAAAGCCAAGGAACAAGGCAGCAGCATCCGCCTAAGCCAGCCGTTTGAGCTTTGAAGCTTTCACAGGGAAGAGTAATTTTTTTTTTTTGTAATTTTGATTCTCTTATGATGGATACTGCTGTTCATGGGGAGCTGATGAAGCATGTTTCTCTTGGGTTATCCTCTCCTTCAATTGTTTTTCGACAGAAGTGGAATTACTATTTGCATTTTGTCATCATTCTTTTGGGTTTTTTTTTTTCATGTTTTGCCCAAAAAAAAAATCATAGATTTCATCTTCTATTGGGCTGCATGATACAGATTGGAAATGTGGCATTTTCTGGTAAAATTTAAGTAACGTTGATATATTAACATTCATAGTTTTTTTTTATAATAATTTTACGAATTTTTTTCTTTTTTTGTATCTCGTCTTGATATATATATAATTTATAATACTACCAAATGGTGAAAAGGTAAGAATGCAACTTAAGTGATTAGCATTCTTAGTCTTCAAGTAAACTTGCTGCCTTTTGGATTTTGTTATGGAGAAATTTATGACCCATTGGTCGTTACATCCAATTTCTGGTTTCCATAATTGCCATATTAATTGATATGCACTCAATTCACAAATCATGACATAATTTGTTAGTTACATTATATATTATATAAATAAGATAAAGACATAATTAACAATTAAAAAACAATGAATATCCAAAAGGAAATAAAAACTCTTCAACATTAATGTTACATTATTTTGCATTTCCTCCCGCAATAGTTTCGTATATTTTTTTTTCTCCCCATTAAAGCCTCCCTATTTTTTTTTATTTCCTTCGGTCTGATCTGGCATCGCCCCACAACCCTCGGGTCAGACAATCGGTATCGCGGATAGTAAACCCTGATCATATACAACAGCTGGTAAACTACGCAGAATAGATAAATCAGCCGAAACTGATCAGGAATGAGAGTTTCTATAACCGGGTTTCGAATCCACAATCTCCTCTAAGCCTGCCTGAGAGGTCTTGTCATAAACCAGTGTGCTGGGACCAACAAAAGATTTTTCCTTTAAAAAAAACGAAGGTTGGATTCAAGACATGGGACATGCAATTTCAGACGCGAGAATTATCTTTTTTTTTTCCACTGTAAATAGATTATGTTCAAACGCATGCGGAAAAATTATATGTACTTTTTTTTATTTGCACCATGGGGAATCTGTATGTGTATATATATATATATATATATATATATATATATATAAAGTATAAGCACAATACCTTAAGCAATTGTGTCTTTTTACTCGAATATGAAACTTTTGGTGGAATATTTATGGTACTTATTCACCATAAAGCTGTGATAGTACCAAACGAAGTATTCGCAATATTTTTAAAATATATAGTGCGAATATAGATCGGAAAACATTTTAAATTAAAATAATATATTTATATTAAATATTAAAAAAAAACATTTCTTGCATATTTTAATGGATAAAATAATTGGTGAAGAAAAATTGATAAAATAATTGCAATTTTTCTAAAATACTATATATCACATCAAGTTATAAATTCTAAGTTAACATCACTTCCTTTTAGAATTATAAATTTAGAATGAAAAAATATAACATGGAATTGGTGGGGAGACTTTAAATTAGTTCTCAATTCATTTTAGATTAGAACCTTAATCAGCGTAATTAATTATAAATTAGTTCTTAATTTAGGGTTCTGTGAATATTTATTTTCCATTCATTGGAATGCAGATAATAAATGCAGATTTATCATATAAGATTAGTAAATGATAATTTTCAAGGAGGATAATTAAGTGGGACCCACGAACTGAAAAAAGCCTTCGTCATCCTTAGTCACCTCGCCATGTGAAACCTATGACGCGGTCTCCTCCCCCCCCCCACTCAAAAAGAATCTACACACTCGCACACACGCGCGCGTCCATGTCGTCGGCCTTTCCTCCGGTGGTTTTCCCGGTGCCGCCAAACGACACTGCTCCGTCTTCTTCTTCACCTCCACTCCCGGTGATCTCTCCGTCGGGTGAGACCAACGCGACTCTGTCTCCGCCTTCACCTTCCGTCTTCGATAACGGGACGAACTCGGAGCCACCGGCGACGGCTAATGGATCTTCGTATACTCCGGCGACGAATGTATCCGGTGGCAGAGGAGGCTTGGCGAGTGGAGCAATGGCGGGTCTGATCGTTGGCGTGATTCTTGGTGCTACGATTGTGTTGGTCGCCGTCGGTATCTTCGTGTTTTTCTATAAGAGAAAGAAGAGGAAGGATGTCGAGGCCTGCAATGGCGGGCCCTCGTCAGATTCAGTGGGTCCGAAAGGTGAATCAGGCGATGAGCTAATCTCTCTCCGAGAATCTAGGGTTTTTGAATTTCAAACTCCAGTTCTTTTAGTATTGACTATGTTCACTGAGTTTCAGTTAATTAATTATAAAATCTATTATTAAATACTTGTTTAGTATTCGATTCCTTTGTTTGTATTTGCTTTGGCTTCTTGTGAGGTTTGAACTCAGTGATTGTTTCTGTCGTATTGAATCTGATGTTCATGTCTGAACTTGAGAAAGAACAGCTTGATTCCTTTTCTCTGTTGTCATGCTTCAAGATGTGGTGTTCTTAGTAATTTTCCAAACTTTTAGCTCTCCTGTTGCATTATCATTGTTGAGAATTTAACTTGGGGTTCCCATTGTTGCAAGTGATCGGTTTCGGTAGAGTAAACGTGTTCCAATTTTGTGTAGGTAATCCTCAGCAATGGCATCAGGGTATATCAGAAATCGGCACGTTCCCCAAACCTTCCCCTCCTCCAGGATTTGGGGAAGGTTTCAAAGTTCCACAAATGTATCCATCAATGGATCCCCCTCCTTCGAGTAGTAGTTTAGGGTCTGACAGACCGCCGGGTGAATCTCAGTCTCCTGCAATGAATATGGGACTTTCACAGAGCATGTTCACCTACGAGGAGTTGTCTAGGGCTACTAGTAACTTCTCGAACATGAACCTTATTGGCCAAGGTGGGTTTGGTTACGTTCACAAGGGCACCCTTCAAGACGGGAGGATTGTTGCGATTAAACAGCTGAAAGCTGGGAGCGGACAAGGGGAACGTGAGTTTCAGGCAGAAATCCAGATCATCAGCCGTGTCCATCATAGACATCTTGTTTCTCTCTTCGGGTATTGCATGACTGGTTCTCAAAGGTTGCTTGTTTATGAGTTTGTCCCGAATAAGACATTGGAGTATCATTTGCATGGTGAGTGCTTTCTTGCAATCTATTTGCTTCGGTTAGGGTGAGATTGCAGAGAAGGAAATATGTTGAAAAATAATAATTGTTGATCCGTCACCTCTATAATGACAAACAAGGGTTGAAATTTTGTACAACTTATGAAAAGTTGCACAAGAAAGGGTCTCTTATGATGCCACCATGAACTAGTCTTAAAATGGTAAAAACACCATTTTAAGACTTTGAAATCAATGCTATTACTTTCAACTGGTTTCTTGTCTCCGCGTCCCATAACCTTGATACCATTACAGAGAAGGGAAGACCTGTAATGGAGTGGCCAACCAGGATGAAGATTGGACTGGGTGCAGCAAAAGGGTTAGCGTACTTGCATGAAGATTGTGAGTATTGTACCATGCTATATAAACTATTGCAATTTGCAATGCTATTTGTCTGTTTCAACTTTCTTCTGAGATTTGGCTTGTGTTCCAGGTAACCCCAGGATCATACACCGTGACATAAAGGCGGCAAATATTCTACTCGATGAGAGCTTTGAGGCGAAGGTACTTTCATACATGGACTCTATATCCTCCTTTTCGTCAATCCCCATTGATTATTGATCGAGTTTTGTCCGAAGAAAATCTTGATCTACTCAGTTTTGTAATTGAATTGCATCACCACTTACAACATTTCTTTCAAAATTGTTAATTTCGCTAAGCGTTTATGCCTAACTCCCTCATTATTTATGCAAATTGCAACTGAACATGCTAATTGTTGTTCAAGCTTACTGCTGGAGACATGTAATAAAAAAAATTAAAGATTGTAGTTCTCTGTAATTCTATTCAAATCCTTGTAAAGTAACTATGCTCTAGTTTGCATCAAAGAAATACATTCATAACTTCAAATTTTCAACTGTACTAATAATGTCGGGCCTGGTTTACCAGTTGGCAGATTTTGGACTTGCCAAGTCTTCCTTAGACACTGATACTCATGTTTCGACTCGGATAATGGGAACGTTTGGGTACGAATCTATCCTACCATTTGCTACCATAGTCCACTGTGACATCTAAATTTATTTTTATCGTAGTCTAATCGTCTTCTATATCCTTCTATTGTTGTGCATTCATGACACTTATCAATTCATCAAAGTGCAGTTACCTGGCTCCAGAATATGCTGCTTCAGGTAAGCTCACTGGTAAATCCGATGTCTTCTCCTTCGGGGTGGTGCTGCTTGAACTGATTACTGGACGCCGACCTGTTGATAAAGCACAACCTTTCGCTGATGATAGCATAGTGGATTGGGTCTGTCTTTTGTTTTCCCTTGATACCAAAAAAATCCATTTTTTTTCATATTGGATTTACGATAAGGAATCTCGAATCTGAAATAGTTTCTTTACACGGATCAGGCAAAGCCTCTGATGATGCAAGTTCTCAGTGATGGAAACTTCGACGTTCTTGTTGACCCAAAGTTGGAGAGAAATTATGACACGAGTGAAATGACACGAATGGTTGCTTGTGCTGCTGCCAGCGTGCGCCATTCAGCAAAGCGCCGGCCAAAAATGAGTCAGGTACTCCCGAGCAAAATCATAGGTTTCCCGTTTCAGTTTGTTTTTTTTTTCTGGAGAACTTCTTGATGAATCATGATAGGGGGAGTCTAGATTATGAAACCAGGGTATTTTAGGACAAGATTCAGAGACAAGTCTTGGTCTTAAACCGACATAGGCCTAGAATCTGGTTTTAACAGTCGAGAACTCTGTGTTTTTTTGGGGGCGTTCCAGATAGTAAGGGCATTAGAAGGAAACATGTCGATAGATGATCTAACTGAAGGAAGCGCACCCGGGCACAGCACCATTTACAGTATGGATGGAAGTGAAGATTATAGCTCGGCTCAGTACAAGGAAGACTTGCAAAAGTTCAAGAAGATGGCACTTGAAAGCCAAACATTCGGAAGCAGTGAATTCAGCGGAGTGACCAGCGACAACGGCCAAAACCCGTCTGCCTCCAGCACCGAAGGCCCTCGAAATACCCGAGAACTGGAACCCGAAAGATCCGAGAAGAAGAAGAGCTCCTCTTGATGATGAAGTACTCAACTCAGGTATACGTTTGGCTGTGTGAAAGAGGTGCTAACTTATTCCAAGTAAATGGGCTTTGTCTAGGGTTTAGGGTTTTAGCACCATCTCTTTACACTCCTTCTTCGACATTGTTGTCTGTGTTCGAATTCTTGAGCTTTTGGTCCGAAACTGATATATTCCCACGTGTGTATTTATTTGTAGCATTGTTGAAACCCCAAAAAAAAAAAAGGTTAAATTCATTCTTTGTGATTTGCGTATGAATGTTGAATTCGTTTTCTGAATCTTGGGCAGAAGGGTGTGTATACATAGATAATGAGTTTTGACACGCTTATTTTTTTTAATGTATCTGATTATAAATTTAATTTTGTTATTGCCAAACATCGTTTGAATTATTTTTTGAATATCATATTTTTCGATTTAAGCTATGGTTGGGTGGGAAAATAATTTTTAAATATCATATTATTAGTCACAAAATCTAAAAAAGTGAGAGCGGAGGGGTACTTTTGGAAATATATATATACACTATCATCGCTGTTATTAGGTGGCTCAAAACAATTCTGGGAATATACTCTGTACTTTCTCCTTTTCTCCATCTGAAAACGAGGGAAAAGAAAAGAAAATCACAGGAGAGGAAAGAAATCAGCTCGTCGAAAGCTTCCGTCCATGGCGTCTCGCCGGCGAGTCCTCCTGAAGGTCATAATTCTCGGCGACAGTGGGTAATTTCCTCATATTTGAATCTCGTTTCTCCGTCGTCATGCTTTGTTATTCTTTTTATAATGGGGAGGAAATTGGGTTTTCCTTAATTGATTTCTATGGATCTCCGTTCTCGATTTTCGTATGAGAACGATGTTTCTCGGTCCAATGATTGATTTGTTTTCGTCACTGATCGGCATTTTTTTCAATCCTCTGTTCGGATAGGGTCGGGAAGACGTCTTTGATGAATCAGTAAGTTTTCATTACTTGGATCTTGGATTCTGTTTCGATTTGATGTTTATTGCTCTCCTTTTATATCAGATTTTGTAAATTAATCTGCGGATTCGTTTCTTTTTTTCTTTTTCATTTTAGGTTTGTGAATCGCAAGTTTAGCAATCAGTATAAAGCGACGATTGGAGCCGATTTCTTGACGAAAGAGGTTCAGATTGATGACAGGTTATTTACTTTGCAGGTACTTGAAACTATATCACGCGTTGTTGGCTTTCATTGTTATTTAAAATTTATTACGAAATGTAACCATCAGATTCAAGAACTGCACATGCATTGTCGCTTATCCTCTAGTTTCATGTTCGATGGTGAAAGTTGGCATCTTCTGTATCAAATGATATGTGTTTCTGATCTGAATTTTCGAGCTTTTCAGGTGAGATATTTTGGTTAAATTAAGTCCAATCGGATGAAGAGTTTATCGAATTTTGTCACAATCTGTCTTCTTATGTTGTCCTGTAATAAGATCCTTTGAAGATCATACAACAGATTGTCCATCTGTGATTTATTCCGAGCCTTTTTGGTGTAATCTATGATTGTTAACGAGTAGGGATGAACTTGTTTCGTTGTTTGTAATAGATATGGGATACCGCCGGGCAAGAGAGGTTCCAAAGTTTAGGGGTGGCGTTCTACCGAGGTGCGGATTGTTGTGTTCTTGTCTATGATGTCAATGTCATGAAATCTTTTGATAACCTTAACAATTGGAGGGAAGAGTTCTTGATCCAGGTAAATTGCATTGCCCATTGGTCCAACAAAAACCTAGGATTTGGAAGGGGTGATATGAATAAAAACATGTGATTGATTGTGTTGTTCTTCATGGTATCGATGTTTAGGCAAGCCCATCAGATCCCGAGAACTTCCCGTTTGTCGTCTTGGGGAATAAGATAGACGTCGACGGTGGCAAGAGCCGAGTGGTGAGGAGGATGTTTGCTTTGTGGTTTTCATCCCCTGATTACTTAGTAAAAGCTAAGAAAACTCTTTCTCTCGGTTTTTGTTTTTTGTTGGAACGGTAAGGTTTCGGAGAAGAAAGCAAAGGCATGGTGTGCATCAAAGGGAAACATTCCTTACTTCGAGACGTCGGCCAAAGAAGGATTCAATGTGGACGCAGCTTTCGAGTGCATAGCCAAAAATGCGCTCAAGAATGAACCCGAAGAAGAAGTGTAAGTCACAATTCAACACTTCACACCATTACACATTCGGATTCTTATATCGTATCATTTCGGTCGGGTTGGATGAACTGTAATATCTTAACGATGGCAGGTACCTCCCCGACACCATTGATGTTGCCGGTGCTCGGCAACAAAGATCCACAGGGTGTGAATGCTGAAAACGATTGCCAATGTTTGCTTGTGGAAATTTTCCATGCTTTGAAATTAGTCGTTTTCTGTTCCTTTTTTTTTTTTTTTTTTGACATGCCGTGTATACATATAACATATGCTCCGTTGTTTCATTTCAGAATTTGTATGTTTCACGATTAATTTCATACTTGTCCATTTTTTTATTTTGGTTTGATGGATCCTGTCGTATATTTTTGTTTTTTAAACACGAATTCAAATATCTAATTTTTTTTTTCCATTTAATACCGATCCAAGGAAAAAACCACACCCAACTCTTGCAAAAATTGCGACAGTTGCTAAAAGTCAAAAGGATTTAAAAAAAATAAAAAAGTATATACTTAACGTTACATCTCATGATTTCTACCTCTTGTAAGTCTCTCTCATTCAACTATTTCCAGGAACGTTTTTGACGACTGGAATCCCTAAGAGCATCTACAGTTCATCTTTAGCACTCTGTTCCTTCTTAGCATTCAGCTCTTTGTTGATCAAAATCGCCATCTCCTTTGCACTTGATTTCGTCGAAAGCTTCAACTGCACATCAACAATGGTCAGAACTCCATGTCCATTCTGCAAAGACAAATCTATGGAGACACCGAAACGAAATCAAAAATGGTTTTTTTTTCCTTTACCGGTGTTTCCTTTTCTCTGGCTTTGTAGAGCAAGACTGTTGGATAATCATCTACCTGTTGCATCAACCATCAAAACGTCCGTTTCAATCATCCGATACGATGTGATTTTCAGGGTTTTGCTCATTGTTTTCGTTTTCTGTTTAGGGTTTCGGGTTTAAAGTTTTACTCGGTATCGGCATGAGAAAGAAATCTGCATCTACTTTACCTGGAGGAGCTTCGGATGCTCGTTTGAAGAGGCGTCTATCCTTGCAAAGACTAAGTTCTCAAAGCCCTTGAAGTGTTTAGCCAACTTCTCTACTTGCTTGCTCATTGCCTCACAGTTCATGCACCATGGTGTATACACCTAAATTTTCCATGACATACACGATCCATTCACATCATTTATAAATACGAAACAATTAAGAAAAAATCATTCAATCAAAAGATTGTGTTCAAGATGACAAACCTCGAGAAAAACATTCTCGGGGCTGCTCATGACCATCGCATCAAAAGTCTTCCCGACCACAGCCAATACACTTGCATTTTGCTGCAAATTTCAAAAAAAGGAGGAAGGTAAAAGAAACGGCGGAAGGTCAAAAAAGGGCTACGCCATATTGCCATGGCCGATATTTGATAACACCGTTTCGGAACGGTTCCAATCATGTCACACTGTAATCATCCTTTGGGAAACAGAGAAAAGATTTCCGTACTCACGTTATCTGGCACTGGCTGTGACTTATAGTAAAGCGAAGCAGTTCCATGCACGAGTCCAGAAGAAAATTCCTAGATTTGCAAATTCAGATGAGTTCATAGTAAACATTTTTTTATAAATGACGAAATCAAAAAGAAGAAGAAAAGAAAGAAAAATGACCAAGGGCTTTGGAGAGTTGTACCTCTATATTGCTAGGTGATGGGCCTGATTCTAGCAAATACTTGGAACTTAGATTATTGTCGAATGCAGCAACCTGTTAGGAAAGGACAGTGGAGATTTGTCACATAGGCTGGAAGTTTCGGCAAAAAGTATATCCCCCTGTGAACTATAAACCGCAAACTGCAAATCCTTTTATCGGAAAACTTACTACAATTTTATTTGCTTCTTCTATCCCGAATAAGGTCAAGAATGGCATAGCGAGGTCTTCATTTGCAATGTCGATATATATAAACATAAGCTGCATGGGAAAGAAGAATGTAAGACAAAGATTTACAGAGTAACTCCCACTAATCTTCAAGATTCAGTATTGGGAAGAACCTTAGATTTAAACTTTCTTGCAATATTTTCGAGCGGCTGAGCAAGACCCTCGAAGTCATCAGCTTTGGCAAAGACCATAACCTAACCGAAAAATTGAAATTAAAAGTTCTTTAATTCACAATAATGTTTACTTAACCAGAAAAATCCCGGGCCGGGACTAGAAAATAAGCATAACAATAAGAAACCTGACACTAGTTCCAAATCGAAATGGGAAATTCTCACCTGAAGCTTGATCGGACTGGAGTAAACCCTAACAGAATTGGTCTCGGTCAATCTCGTAATCAATGGAAACTTGTTGTTGTCCAGAAACTCTAGTATCTTCTCCCCTTTGTAAGGCCCATCTGCATGAGAAATACAGAGGATTTGAACATAATGATATTGGTGATGTTCCAGGTAATAGCAAATGTCCAAATTTGTCACAGCAAAATGAATTCTACAAAGGATAAAACATGCACTCTCTCTCCCAACGATACGAACTGAAAGAATAACTTTTGTGCAAATATTACCACTTCAAATTAGCAGGCTTACCATATGCAGTGTACCTTTCAGGCTCACTTTTGACCATTCCAATGAAAACGTCATCGGTTTTGATATCAGGAAAGAGAACTTTGGCAACATCGGTGTTGCTTGTTTCAACAAACTGAATTTCATTGTCCGAGGTCGCTGCTTTTACAAACTCGTCACGTTCAGAACCCTTCGTAAACAACATTTCAAAATTAAACCAGTCCTGACCAAACAAATGAGCTGTTTTTTGCCACAAAAGTGCCATCAACTACTGGATTCGCTTAACACATCCGTGTGATTTTGTTTGTCCAAGTCAAACATGACATCTAACTCGAAGAGTTCTACGAAAACTACAAGATGATGGTTTTGTAGGAGTTGGTTGATCGGTTAGAAGGTTCAGTATCCAAATACCTCAAATTTATTGAAGAGGCCAACAATGAAAGTATGATACTTCTTCAGAAATCCTTGGGCTTCATCAACTGAACTTATTCTAGTGACAGGCACACCGGTCTTTTTCTGCACCCAGATGACTATATCCTCCCTGAATATGATGAGACCAACGTGTGACAAATTTCAAAGACATTCAAAGATCTCAACAGAAACTCACACGAATCCAAAGCCCTTTTCGCTCCCAAAAGCACTTTCAGGGTCAGAACAGAAGGCAAAAGCTGTAGCTTGAGAACAAACATGTAATTGTTGTTCTCGCCGCAGGATGATGATAAGCACAGGAATGCATGAAATAACTCGTCCCAATCTCGTTTCTCTCCGCCTAATCAAACTATGATCAGCTAATTTACAACCTAAAACCAGAAGAGGAAATTACGAATTTGCTAATAATTGCTCAGACTCATCAACTGATCACTGAACCCAGATTCGAGATCCAGACTCATAGCATTGCCACTAGAACCTTTAATCTCTTCTTCGAAACTCGTAATTTCTCGTAATCGACAACAGATTAGGAACACTTACGCTGAAAATCCACCGGTATAAGGATGAGAAGTGCCGTTGACGAAGAGCAAAAGCGTCGGAAAGCCCTTGATCTGGAGCTCCGACGCGACCTTCGGGTACCTCTCGGCGTCGATCTTCGTCATCAGAACCGGATTATCCATCTCCTTCAACGCCGTCGCCGCCTCCGCGAATCGCGGCATCAGCTCCGCGCTTCTCGGGCACCACGGCGCGTAACCTAGGACCATCACGTACTCGTTCCCATCGATCGCGCGCTTCGTGTTGTCGCCGTTGAGCTCGAGGACGATCCTCTGTGCCCTGCTCACCATTTCCGCTTCCGATTGCTGCTCCGGTCGCTCCTCCTGGACTTCTTCGTCCACCGAAAGGAGCTGCTCCAGATCATCTGATTCTTCATCCCATCTGGGTTCATCGCTGGCGACGGTGGCATCCGACGAACGGGCAATGGTGATGAAGAAACTAAGGAGCAAGAGGAGGGTGAAGGTGAAGATGAAGAATTTGGAAGAGGGTTTTGGTTTGATCGACATGATCGTTTATGGGTTTTCGTCCAATTTTTGAAGATCGATCTGATCAAGAAGGTGATTGTAATGAAATTGGCCGAGATCCGGGGTTTATGAGGTTATTGTGGTCGGAATCCCACCAAGAATTACGGCGGGAGTCCAGATTTGGACAGTCAAAATAATTGTAATAAAAATTTATGAAATTTCCAAAAAGGACAAATTTGTGGCATTTTTCTTTAAATTTTCGTTTAAAAAATTGCACATTTTAGGAAATACATCAATTGCAAGCATTTGCAATTGCAGATGTTGTAATCTATGTCTTCTTTTATTATCAAAATCTTATATTACTAAAAACATATTTTTTTGATCGGCACACTGATAGACATCATCCAAATACCAAAGGCAAACTATTCATCTTCAATAAATATATTCCACAAAATCACAAATTAGTAAATACAATATCCATTTGTTTTATTTTTTGAATCATCACATTAATTACATATTATATATATAATATATATATATATATATGTTCACGCTGTGCATCTTCTTGAGCCGGACTACTGACTGGGCTAACTTCAAAAATTGTTTTACAAGTTATTGGGCTTATCATTTTCTGAGCCCATATAACGAAAGAAGCAGACAAATGTACGATAATTCTGGAGCCTTGTCACAGTTCCCAAGGTACATCTTTCTTGGAGTTTTATTAATTATTATTATTGTTATTTATATTATTATTATTATGATGAGCCTCTGCGTCGTTATCCAATAACGTCGACACGACGAGAGGGACACACGTAAGAAAGAGACAAGATGACTTTGGTGGTGAGTCATCGCACCGTTTATTTAAGACCAAATCCTCCTTGATCAGCTGTTAAACCCGCGTCTCAAAAGATCTTTGTTCTTCCCAAAAGCCGAGGTTATATCTTATAATACAAAGAGGGTTTCGTGAACTATCTGACAAAAAACTAAAAAAAGACAGAATCGATACTTTTTCCAAAAATTTCACCGCAGAAACTGTCGGGAAGCAAAGATTATCATCTTTTTGTTTTGGAGTCTCCGTAAAGAAGGTGTCTTTTGTATCCTTTCTGGGTTTTATAAGATCAGATCAAAAGGCTCCATCTTTTCATCTCTCAACAACATCTGAGAGGGAGAGAGGGGGATAGGGAGAGAGGGAGAGAGAGAGAGAGAGAGGATGTTAGAAGGGAAGGCAATGGTTGAAGACACAGACATGCCGTTGAAGATGCAGATGCAAGCAATGGCATTTGCGTATCAAGCTCTAGATCTTTTCGATGTGGTTGACTGCAAATCCATCGCTGGCCACATCAAGAAGGTAGGATTTCTTCTTCTTCTTCTTCTTCTTTTGGCAAATTCCTCTACTTTTTTTTTTACAGGATTTGAGTCTTTAATGTGGTTTGGCATTGTGGGTTTGAATCATTTGTCTGAGAAGATTCTTGAATCTCTCCTGTGTCTTTGTCCCGGTTGTGATTCCAAATGTGTTTGGATTCGAGCAGGAATTTGATGAGAGGTACGAAAGTGGATGGCAATGTGTGGTGGGATCAAATTTTGGGTGTTTCTTCACACATTCCAAAGGGACTTTCATCTATTTCCAACTGGAGACCCTCAAGTTTCTCATCTTCAAAGGGGCTTCTACCCCCTAGAACCTGCAGGGGTCTGTTTGTTTCCCGAGAAAGTTTCAGGAGGAAAAACGAAACTGAAAAGTCCTCAATCGATCGAATCAACATCTCTTTTTCTGGTTTCTGATTGTAGAATTGAAGTAGCTGTGATGGGTTAGGAGCTGTTTTCTTCTTCTAATCTTAGGTGTGTGTTTTTTTTGTAGATAGATGCTGATGATCCAAAGACTCTAGAGGTTTTTTTTCCAATAAATTGTGAAGTCTTTGTTTCTGCTTTGTGTTCATGCGATGAATAACAGTGATTGAACGGATCTTGCATTGCCGTCCAAATGATAGCACAAAGTTGTAATCATATACTGAAATTGGGAATCAGTAAATATCTAAACCCTTTCATGCACACAAAAACATTTCAGCCTTGTTCTTGAGGAATACAGAAATCAAGAAAGGAAGAAGAAGAAGCAGTGCATAAACTAAGACAAAGAATACAACAGACAGAGAGGGAGAGATTAGAGCTTGCCACGAGGGCCAAGCTTAGGCTTCTCTTGAGGGCCTTTCTTGATGGGAAGATCGTCACCAGTGGCATTGGCACTCACATAAGCCAGCGTTGAGCCTCCACCCAAAATCAAGAACTTTAGCAGTAATCCTCTCTTTGTGAACGGAGCTGCGAAAGTTTCAAAGAACTTGCTCTGCATATGTACAGAGAGATCAATCATTCGCATGATTCAAAAGTTCATGTGCAGTTTCAGACCAAATTCAAAGCGAGACAGTGAACCGAACTGACGAGAGAATCATGCACGTGAAGTTATTACCTGAAGAGGGTTGTAAGGAGAAGGAGCATCAGAACCGTACAAGTCCCATTGACCTGTTGAGTTTGCCAAATCTTCCAAGTCAAAGTACACACTCTTGTCCCCATACTTGGCCACCACGGCACCAACCCTAGATTCACAAAAGAAGCTACCAAAAAACTCAAAAACTAATTCTACATATTTTTATTAGATTAAAGAATCGCAAGATGGAAGCATGCATTTACCTTGTGGATCTGGGTCTGAAGCTCTGGCGAGAGGGCTTGATGAAAAGCTTAGTTCCGGCGAGGGAGCTGCCGGAGAGGCCGTTGACGGCGGCGGAGGATTGAACGGCGGCGACGGTGGTAAGAGACGCCATTTGATTTCGATTCAAGTAACTCGAAATGATTGGTTCTGTGACTTGGAGTTGTGTAATATGGTGAGGGGTTTCTGATATTCACTCATGGATCTTGTCCTGACACGTGGCGAACTGGGTTTCTCCCGATTAGATTTGGAGTGCCATTCAGGATGTGCCGCGTGGAAATGGCTGAGATAAGCTTATCCGTTATTATAGCTGCCAATGGACTGTAGAGAATTTTATTCCAGCGACTCCAAAGTTCAAAGCAAAATTCTTAGAAAAATTCAGCAGAATAAAATTCTTATATGTTAAAATTTTCATTTGTTTATTGGACAATTTAGAATTTGATTTTGGATATATATGTGTACATTAATTGCCCTACAAATACTATGTTTCAAAAAAAATTAAAATGATAAAAAATATAGATTAATCATCGATAACCAATTTTCCTTTGAGCTTTGTGTATCTTAGATTCTCAGTTTAGTCCCTTTGAAGTTTGAACCACCCATTTCGGTACCACCAAAAAAAAAACAGCCGGTGAGTCTTATCTGAGCCTCTGTGACTGTCGAGCCGAAGATAATCTTACGCTGTCTAATTCTCAGTCTCGGGGAAGAAAAGTTCGCATCTTTTTTGGTGGGTTTGAAGAATTTGGTTCCTTTTTTTCTTCTTTTCTTCGGAAAGGGTATTGAAGGATTTGGTTATACTGAACCCCGACGATGAAATCAGCTCTGATTTTGGTTTCCGCCTTGTGAATACTCAGGAAGACGATGGCCTCCATCTCTGCAAGCTTGCCTCCGCCATTACTGCTCAGTGGAAGAAAGTCCCTTCTCGCAACCATTCGGAAACTCCCATTTTCTCCTCCTCGAGGTACGATTGACTTTGTTCCATATGAAAAGCTCTGTGTTGTTGGGGCAACCAAAAAAAAAAAAAGTGGAACCTTTTTACTTGCAGAGGCAACTTTGATGAACATTATAGTTGACGTGTTGATCTCGTTGAAGTGTTCATCCTTGTAAGAATCATTCGATTGTTTTCATGTGGGCGTATGATTTTTGTCTGATTGTTTGCTGGGTGGGTTCGGGTGCAGCCTGCTCACGGTTGTAAATTACAACTTGTGATTAGGATTAAGATTATTATAAGAATTTCTCTTGTGGTTGTGATTCTCTTTATTATACATTCGAGGTTATTTGGCAATTGCCTTTTGTATGTTTTTCCTGATCAATCTGTTCATTGTTGGGAGTATGGAAAGCTTTGCCATTGCTCTTAATGAGGCTAATGTTTGGGAATCCAGATTTGTAGATTTAGATAATCAAATACGTTGTTGGTTTTTTGAAGGAAAGGATATGTGATTGTTTGTCTCATGCTGCCTTGTAGACATACGGAACCGTATTGGTATCGGTTTCCGGGTGAAGGCAAGTGGCCAGAGCTCTGAGTCATCCACTGATCTATCCGTCGTTAAGTCTGTTCAGAATGTTGTAAGCTCTAAAACACTGTAGTATCTTTGCCCGTCACAGTTTATGTTTGTGACTTTCCACAATTTCTCCCCCTCCACTCGGTTCTGATACCAATTTGTATGGTTTTCAGATTTCAGAGAACTCTGTGTTCAGATAACATATATATGTGTGTATATATGTATATGCATTCCTCAGTCTGATGGGCATATTTCTGTCTTGTATTTCGCCGGTTCATCTTTTGAAAAAACCAGTGGGAAAATTCTGAAGATCGGATAGGGATTATCGGCTTGGGATTTGCTGCTGTAGTGGCCCTCTGGGCATCACTGAACATTGTCACGGTAAAATAAAATGTCTATTACTGCCTCTTTGGTTCTTTCTTTCTTTTCATCTTTAGCTTTGTAACACAGTCTTCTTATCCATCCTTTTATCCTTCTACATATGGACAATGGTATTGATCGTGTTTTTTTAATATGAACAGGCAATAGACAAGTTGCCCGTCATCCCAAACGCGCTGGAGCTAGTTGGCATATTGTTTTCCACGGTGTGCATCTTCGATTTATATATGCATTTCATCAAATTTTGATCTGAAAAAGCATATATGCTTTTCATTTGGGTTTATTTTCCATATCGTAACTAGTTAGCATATTCCTTTTCTGCAGTGGTTCACATATCGCTATCTCTTGTTCAAACCCGACAGGTACTCTATGCAATCTCATTTTTTTTATATGCCATGTATATATATAAATGAAGATGCAAAGTTTTATGCAAATCTTCAATTCTTGGAGCTGATTTTCAGGGAGGAGCTATCTGAAATCATTAAGAAGACGATATCAAATATACTAGGCCAGTGAATGGTATGCTTCAAAGGTGAGGAAACGCTTGTTTCGACGTTGAATTTTGTATTGCAACGTGAATGGAAGATTTCATGTTGGTACCGGTTGCAGTTTATAGTATGTGTATGCGAAATGATTATGATGTAAAGATTGATGAAGTGGATGGTTGTGGTTGTAAGCTTATGGGAAAGTATGTTGTTGGTTGTGGTTAAGTACAGTATTTTCCATGAATTGCTTCACGGATCGTTGTGGTGTACTTGCACTGCCCGTACTTTCTTGCTCGATGTAAATATATGATTAATGACCAAACAGGTCTAAAGCCAGAACCTGGGAATGTGCTCTGTTGTTTTTATAGAGCATCATCTGGTTCATGAAGATATTGCTTTGGCCTAAGTTTGGGTCTGAAAGTCATTTCTGGTTCTGGTTCCGGGTACAAAAGTTTGTCTTTTATGAAGTCTTCTTTAGTATCGTGTTTGAGTAATCATATAGTGTAAATACAGTGTTTTGATTGTTTCCACATTCGGTTTCATGGTTTTCGGTTAGTTGGAGAAAAAGTACAGCACAAACGTAATCCTATACAGTATATGTATATAGGAATAGTCCATGTTATGAGTACTTCAACGAGTCAGAGAGAAGTTTTCTTTGAACCTGTAATGTATCCAACCACGATGAGCTTCCGGAGACAATCCCTGAGAGTTTCAAGCACCGCCCTTTCCTGCTCGATGTAAGTATCTCCTCCATTACCATCATCACTGTCTCTCTTACTCAGATCCTTTGAATTGCTTAGAGTATCGATCATTTCAATCATTCTTCCCGTTGAATGTACCATTTCTTCTGCATTTTCATTTGTGTCGCCGCCTTGTCTAATGCATATATCCTGCTCATAATCTAGCTCTTGTAAATTCCTGGTCTCTTCTTCCATGTTTGGTTGTAGCTCCAACAGTGTGGTGTTGCCTGATGAAAATAAAAAAACCCGTGCCGAATTATTAAGGAGGGCGTGTTACGGTATTCTCGCGCTGAACAAGCTGACGAACAAACTCATACCTGCGTAAGCTTTGGCGGATACCGATGCAGACAGAAGAAGAGAGCATATATCTACCATGTCTGGAAGAAGTATGGTATCCCCCAATGGTGACTTTTTCTTTCTGCAAATCCAATTAATCATGCTTATGGACAAGAGTAATAGTAAAGGCAAAAAATCAGCAAACATTTGTGTGAATTCAAACCTGTATGGAAGCTTTGAACTTCCAGACATCGAGAGACGTAGAAGATCTCGAGTGGCATCATAAGGCGTCGCAGTTGAAGACTTGGCTTGCTATTGAAACAAAGAGGAAATGCATCAACTAAATAACAACAGATCAGGGCTTTGAATCTGTCTGATTAACAATCTAAGTCAGACACTGCATACCCGTCCATGTTCCTCAGTTCGGTGAGTCTGATGAAACTTTTCCCTTGTATGAAGCAGTTTATGATATTTTCTCGTCCTGTCAGATAAAATCATCCCTAGATCATTGGGGGAATTGTTGTAGTCCCTTGAAACGACTGCAGTTTTTGTAACACTTTCCTGAGTTCGTCTCTCTCCATGTTGATCTTGTTCTTCTCACTAGACCTAAGCGTCTTCCTCTCGGGCTTCCCAAATTCGAAGAGAAGCTTGCTATGGTTTCGGCCCTTGACAGAAACATCTGTCTGGATCTCTTCTTCGACATTCTTGCAGTTGATGCATTTACAGTGTTCCGAGCAGAAGAGATTGGCCTGGAAACACTCGCAGTACTTCTTGAGGCACTCGGTTCGTTTGCATTTGCATCCTCTCATCGGAATGACAACCTTAGCAGCATCTGCCGTCTCATCCTGTGATGTTAACAAGCAAATCGTTATACGGTAAAGAATGGTAAATCGTAAAGCTTAGAATGTAGGATCCTAAACTCATAATGTAGGATCCTAAACTCATAAGGTCGGAACGCAAGAACCTGCTTGTCGCTTGGATAGTGGAAAAGCTTTCCCTTGAACGCATTCGGATTACGAAATAGGATATTATCGACGGCGACTTTTCTGAGATCCCAGTTCTCAAAGTTGTTGTGGCAATCAACACAATCACATCCACTGCAGAACACTCCAGAAGAAAAGCACTCACAGTACCTAATGGCCACGGGATAAGTGATTACAACTTCGATACATTCGGCAACTTTTCAACCCTAAAATCACAGTTCTATAGGTTTTGTCTGGTGATTGACTATATGGATGACATATCTGAAATGAACTCACAGCTTCAAGCACTTGGATTGTCTGCAGTGGCAACCTTTGTACTTCCTCAGAGTACGGCGATTCCAATCTGTGTCGGTTATTGGTTCCGGTGTCACTCTCCTCGGCTTTCTGCCGCATTCATATCAGAGAAAAATATCAGACATTGAAACTAAGAACTTACACAAAAACTCTGACTTGCAGAAATCGACGCTATCATTTGTTGACAGACTAAGCATTGTAATGATTCTAGCAGAAGTGTCTACTGAATCAAACACTAAAATCGAAGAAAAGGTTACTTCAACAAGAAATCGTGTGGTTTTTTTTTTCCCATTTCTCCCACAGATTTCTCAGCAAATCAAGCAAAACCTAGAACGGATCGGGAAAGGAGAGGAGAGGAGAGGATTGATTGGTAACAATACGAACTTGGATGGAAAATGAGAGAGCTCAGGAAACAGTGGGAGCTCTCGGAGAGGCGAGAGAGAGACAACAGGAGATAAGCCTAATTTGGTGAAGACAAGCTGTCGAGGTCGATCCTCAGGCACGATCACATCGGAAACCACATCGGCTCTGTTCTCCAACATTCTCACAATCGCTCCGCAAAGGTAAAAGGTTTTAGAGCGATCGGTGATCAATTCTCGGAGACGCTTCGTTCCTCATACTTGGAATCCAGAAAACTAGGATTTCACAGCGGCTATATAACTCTGAGTGATGAGATCCTTCACGACTTCCTCCTGATTTTCCCTCATTTTCTAGGATTTTCCCGGAAATCAAACGGCCTCCAGATACATTTGATGAAAAAAAAAACGAGAGAGAGAGTTTTGGAGGGAATAAGCGGATGAAGAAGACGAGAGGAAATTTAAACAGTTCAGAGTTCTGCCTTGTGACCGTTGGAAGACCAGCAATTTGATTTTTAATTTCATAATTTAATATGAACAATATATTAAAAGTTAATTTCTATTAAATAAATTGTTTCTGCTCATATTTTGTTTTTTTATAATTGAATCGAGAATGAATGGCTTTTGGGTTATTCATTTGATTAAATTCCAAACAAAATATACATTCAAATATCCTAATCAAATATTATTTGTGGCTTCTATCCATCAGTCGATACCAAATGTGGCTTCTTTGTTTGAGGTTAGTGTGGTTTAGAAATTTCATATTGAATTAAAAATCAAATATAATTTCGATTATTGGACGGTGGAATTCTTTGTCTAAGGTGCTTCATGCATTCTGCTAATGAATTCATAACAAATAATTCAAAATATCGAATCTAATTAACAGGACGAGATAATATTAAAGGTTAACTAACTGTCTACATATTTTCTAAAATATAGAGTATAAATACATGAATACAATTAACGTCCTAATACTATATATTCACAATTTAGACCACGGCTTTAGATATTATTGATTTTACAAATATTCTAGCTTTTCAGGATTCAGTTCGAAATTTTAGTAGTTCAGTCCAAAAACGGTTTTTTCGGTATTTTAAAATTTATATCAAATTAGACCGTATATTATTCGGTTCAGTTCGGTTTTAATTTCTGTACGGTTCAGTTCGATTGTTGTTAAAAAAATTAGATTTTATTTAAAAAATATCGATTTATCTGGAATTTAAAATTTGATTTGGTTAAAATTTTAGATTTTATAAAAAAAATATATATCGTTCGGAAATTTTGAATGATACGATTCAAAAAAAAATATTAAGATTTTTAATTCGATATGATTCGATTTTTCGAAACCGAATCGAAACGTGATTGTATTGACGACTTCCAAAGAATTTATATATATCCTTCAAATATGGGTGTAATAATTTTCCAATTATTTCAATGGGCTTTCAATATTTATTCAAATCAAACAAATCATGAATATAGAATGGAATATATTATCAACTTGGACTTAAAAATCAAAATAATCGGCTCTAGCGTTGACTTTATAGCTTTGGATAGGGTTCACACCAATCTTCTTCGTTGACCTTTTACAGTCGTTGAAAAAGCCAACTCACATTTCAATTCCATTGCATAATCTACAATATAAAATTTATTTTAATATGTTCTTCTTAGAAATTTCCTATATTTATCTTCGAGAAGGTCGATTTTTTCAACTGAAAAATTATTTATTTCTTTTCCTTATCTTCTCCTATAAAAAGAAAAGACCATATTACAAAGACATTGTATTAAAAATCTAAGGTAGATTGTACGGATCATATGGGTCGAGTTCCACCGACAGCTCCATCAGAAGATGGAATGAACAGAGGTATACCGGTCCAACACGCCGGTATACCGGTCCAGCAAACCGGTGTACCGGTAGGTTCGTTCACGCCACAGGATTATCAAGCTAATATTGTTAACCAGCACGTCGGGAGCTCATGGAACACCGGTTTGTTTGATTGTCATGAAGATCAGACCAATGGTAATATGCGAAAAATTTCTTTAAGATGAAATTCTTTTGAGATGTATAATAAATTAGATATATATATATATATATATATATATATATATATTCTATATTTAGTTGTTTTATAGTGTTTGTAACATGTGGATCTTAGTATATACACTTCAAATTTTTTGCAGCCGTTATGACAGCATTCTTCCCTTGCGTGACATTCGGACAGATAGCTGAAGTTGTGGACGAAGGAGAGATGAGTACGTTTCAGTGGACCAAAAATCGTATTTTTATACGTATGATATACGGAATCTAAGGTTTTGTTACATATATATTTGTGTGAATGTGCGTATGTATAGCTTGTCCATTGGGGAGTTTCATATACTTGCTAATGATGCCGGCGTTGTGTTCGCAATGGGTGATGGGATCAAAGTACAGAGCAAAGATACGGAGTAGATACGGTCTCGTAGAAGCTCCGTATTCAGACATCGTATCCCATGTGTTTTGCTCTTGTTGCTCTTTGTGCCAAGAGTATAGAGAGCTCAAGACCAGAAACCTGGATCCTTCTCTAGGTACGTACGGTCTCATCATTTTATTCATAACCCTGATTCTAAATTAAACCTATATTCATTGCATTAATATATGGTGATAAATATGCCAATAATTTGAGATATAATTTTATTATATTTTCAATAAATAAATACATATGTAGATCGATGATAATACCCATATCATTTTCTATTGCATCGGTATTTATCAGTGACATATTCCGGATTCCGTTCAAGTTATTTTGTTCGTTTTTCTTTAGTTTTAACATTTGTAATCATTATGTTTTTAAACAAAGGTTTCGATTTGTTACAATTATATTTTCATAAACAATAACTCGTTGTCTTTAAAAAAAATTCCATTTTAATTTCAATTTATACTGAGATTCGTTAAAATGTTAAAGGAAAAACACATCCAATCAAATTTGTAATCATATTAAACTTATGTTGGATTAAATATTATTCAGTTCAATTTACTTTCGAATATTCAAATCGAAGTATATATATATATATATATATATATATTGGAATTTAATATTTTGGCATTTTGTTAAAGCGAAAAAGATAAAATAAATGGGCAGGTTGGAATGGGATTATTGCACAGAGACAAGGGCATTATCAGAATCAAGCGGCACCAAGTGTTGCTCCTCCGAACCAATACATGTCTAATTAAATCATCTCCTTTTGTTATGAATTATTTAAATTCACACATATATTTTCTATTTATTTTGGTTATACGGATAGTAATAATGAAAGATAATTCTTGATTGGGAGTATTTTCTTTATTTTAATTTCTGATTATTTTTTTTTGTACCGTTCCATGTGATTTACTCGTTGTACGAATTATATACACAGCGTGATTTTTAATGAATAATAATCATTTTATAACAAATGATGGAAAATTTTGTAACAACTACTGGAAAATCAACGGTCAGGATCACATCTTGGGCTGATCCTTCTTCGTAGAAACACGCGCGTGTTCTTCCCTGTCTTTGCAAGAGAGTGATCGGCTTCTGTCTCTGTTCATGAATGCCACAGCTGACATTAACGGCTACATAAATTAACTTTTAGATTTCTTGGTGGAAAAAAAAAACACGCACAAAAAACGGAATCTTGATCGCGGTTCAATTAAACCCACCACTGCTTGAACCTACCCAAATGACGGCTACATTAAAGAGTTTCAACCACTTCTCCTCCTTTAACCCGCGTAATTACCATTCCGCGATTCTCTGCTATCGCCTTCATCGATTCCAGCTTCGTAATTCCATTTCGTCTTCTGGGTTTCGGTTCTTGCGATCCACGCATCTCTTCTGTAAGTCTTCTTCCTCGATTTTGTCCTGATTCTTCTGAAATTTCTGGGAATTCTCTCTGGGTTTCGTGTCTTGTGAATTGAGTGTTTGACTAAATTTGTTGTTCTGTGGGTGTCGGGTTTTTTTTCTCCTGCGCCATGTGTACGCACATCACATGTTCGATGAAATGTCTTAAAGATTCGTTCTTTTGGAGAGTAACTTTGATGATTTTGGGGAAAAATTCTGTCTTTCGAGTTGGGAAATCTTACCACCGTGAGCTTGTCTCTGTTTGAATTGGTTGTTGAATTTCCGGTTGAAATGGAGGAAAGAGTATTTCCTCTGGTGAGAGGAGGACACAGTCAGGATCAGGGATGACATTTGTAAGATAGACCATAAATGCATTCGGTTTCTGTGAGGTTCATGGATCATTATGCATTAAATTCTATCTTAAAGTGTTGAATTTCTCACCTTTCTGAGGAAAGACGTTCCTTTTCCCAAAATTTCTCATGATCTGTGTGGAGTTATCGCGCCATTTTTAAACATTACTCCAGCTTCGTTTTGTTATAGTATATTTTGTTTTGGAATCAAATCAATATTTTGAAGTCTCAAAGATAGGGTCAGGTTTTGAGGGAGATTTGGTAGTCATTGATTTGTAAGCTTGATAACAGGCTCTTCTTTCTATCTGTTTCATGCACCATTAGAGCCATGATCTAGCGGATGTTCTCTCTGATGTTGATATTTTGTAATCCATGGAACATTTCACCTGAAAATTCTATGTGATCAATGTTACAGCTTCGCAGTCTGGTACACTCATGGAGGTGTTTAAAGCAGTACTCAGGGAGGGTTCTGGTGGTTGTGATAGGATCGCCATCAAAGCTGAAGAAAAGAGTTACACTTATAGGCAGCTAATATCATCTGCCCTGAGAATATCTGATTTGTTCTGCAATGATGATAAAACCAATGTATGCAGGGGTTTGTTAGCTTAGTCACATTCTAATGAAATGCCATGGAAACTTCTAATTCAATTGTTGTCACAAAGTCACAACAGTTTATTAGTTCTTTCATGGGTTGAAGTTACTCAACTTTGCCTTTTTTTTCTCTCTGAATTTCTTAGGGGTATGAAACTAGGAAGCATGAAGGGTATGGAAATCTTAATGGGGCAAGAATCGGAATTGTGGCAAAACCTTGTGCAGAGTTTGTCGCTGGAGTATTAGGGACATGGTTTAGTGGTGGTGTTGCGGTTCCACTTGCCCTCAGTCATCCCGAGGCTGAACTCTTACATGTGATGAATGACTCGGTATGAATTCTGTGCCCCTGCCATCTTCTTTTGTCATGATTTATTTTCATCGTTTACACTAATTTGAGATTGGAAACCTTTCTACCTGTTTATATTGTTTATTGTGGTGTTGGTTGGGTTAAATTCTCCAGGAAAGTTGTTTGTGTATCTCTTTCTTTTTTTAAATTAATCCATCTCTTCATTCTTAGGTGTTCCACGCGTAGATGAATGCATGTCAAGAAGTCTTTGTAATCTTTAAAATATATTTCTTCAAAATCAAGAAAGGTGCCCACTATAGTCTGGCAGAAAATTTACCTTGAGGTGTTGGTGTTTTCCTGGTTGGTATGATCCTATAACACACGCAGGCATAAATTTTCCTTTCGATGTGTGCCTAAAATAATCTCCTTTTATTTGGCAACTAGGATATATCTCTGCTACTGAGTACGGAAGACCATAGTGAAACTATGAAAATAATTGCAGCTAAGAGTGATGCCCAATTTCTCTTAATTCCTCCTGTTGTTAGCTCTACCTCAGAAATTGATGTTCAGAATCAATCTCAAGGTGGAATTTCAGAAGCAGAGGGAAGGTATCTAGGTTAGTTTTCTAAGATACTTAAATATCTTGAATTCACATTTACAAGTTGTTTTACTTTTTTTCTATTAGATGCTTGAGTAACTATCGATCTGTATTTTCTGTCCTTTGTATCATGTTAGTGTTCTATTTGTGCAGATGACCCAGCATTGGTTGTCTACACAAGCGGTACAACTGGTAAACCCAAAGGAGTTGTCCATACCCACAAAAGCATCAATGCCCAGGTATATATGTCCAAATGGCTCTGCATGCCGTGTGACCCGAAAAATGTCTGATTGTATATTTGTGATATCTTCTAAGACTGGAAATAACCTCCCCAGTCAATAAAGTTCAACAAGAGCTAGTGCAGTCATTGTTTGGGTAGCTGAATTTATTAGCTTGATACTACAAAAAATGCCTCCAGCTTTTGCTCGTGTCTTGGTTAGTGATGCTAGTGTTTTGGCTTATAACTTGCATGTTTTACAGGTTAGAATGTTGACGGAAGCTTGGGAGTACACTTCAGCTGATCATTTTCTCCACTGTCTGCCACTACATCATGTTCACGGGCTTTTCAATGCTCTGTTTGCTCCTTTGTACGCAGGTTCTTCAGTAAGTATTCCACATATGCTTTTGCTACGGTCTTTCTGGTACACTAATTTTCCAAAATCTCATGCTGGTTGAAGGTTTCTAATCGATGTATTATTCTTTGAAGGTTGAGTTTTTGCCAAAGTTTAGTGTCAGTGGAATCTGGCGAAGGTGGTGTGAATCATATCCAGTGAATGGGGACAGAGTAGATGATGCCATAACCGTATTCACAGGAGTAAGTCCATTTTCTAGTTTTGTTCCTCAAACTTTATTGCGTTGTGTTTTTCTGTGAACATGTGCCAATGATTTTTTTTTTCCATATTAAAGAGCCAATAGTTTTTTACTTATACAGCAAGGATCCCTATTGATCCAAACATAACGGAATGTTGTGATATACAGGTTCCAACCATGTATACTCGATTAATACAAGGTTACGAAGCAATGGACTCGGAATCTCAAGCCAATTGCTCGTTTGCTGCTAGGCAACTTCGCGTAATGGTGAGCAACCTGTAATTCCTTCCAAGTTGTGCAAACATGACCAAATGTATGGTGGCAAATGCATATATATGTATGGACAGTTCTTGCATATTTGCTGACGAGATGCATTTTCAGATGTGCGGCTCCTCTGCTCTCCCTCAACCCATCATGCAACGGTGGGAAAGTATCACGGGTCATCGTCTTTTGGAGCGTTATGGCATGACAGAGGTTAGTTCAGTCTCTTCTTGTTTTCCAAGAAGATCGTTCTTCTTTTATCTTATTTTCTTCCAGAAGATTGTGCCTTTTCTAGCAGTTTTATTTGATGATGTTATTTATTTTGTTCTCTATACATTTAGTTTATAATGGCTATATCAAATCCCCTACGAGGTGCAAGGAAGGCAGGTACAGTCGGGAAGCCTCTTCCCGGAGTGGAGGTCAGTAAAGATCTAATCTTTCCTATGCCTAAATTAGTATCCACATTCTCATATCAAAGAATTTGGAAGAGGTTAAGATCTCAATCCTCGATATTACCGAAAGGCATAATCTTGATTGCCATGCCATCCTGAATCATCTGCAAATGCAATGATAGGTCAAGATTGTAGAAGATGAAAACGATTCAAATGGAGTAGGTGAGATTTGTGTAAAGAGCCCATCTCTTTTCAAGGAATACTGGAAACTTCCAGAAGTTACTAAAGAATCCTTCACCGGGGATGGATACTTCAAGACCGGAGATGCTGGTCGAGTGAATGAAGATGGATATTACGTGATTTTGGGACGTAAGTAGCATTCCCGCACTGCATTGCATATTACAAGTTGTTTGATTTCTCCTCTTCTATTACCATTTCTCAGAATATTCTATGGTAATCAGGCACGAGCGCTGACATTATGAAGGTTGGGGGATACAAGCTGTCTGCTTTAGAAATCGAATCTGTTCTCCTCGAGGTAATAATCTCGTTTAACATTAAATAACACTTTCACAAGTTCTTGTTGGGAAATTTCTTACCGGTTTATATTGAGAAATGTACTAAAACTAGAGGATTAAGACTATGGAGATCTTACCCTGAAATGATCCCGGGTGTTGAGTAGCACCCTGCAGTTGCAGAATGTTGTGTCTTGGGTTTACTGGACAAAGATTATGGAGAAGCCGTTACAGCGATAATTGTACTGGAGGCAGAAGCTAAGAGGATAAGAGAAGAAGAAGAAGAGGCAAAGCCTGTCATTACATTGGATGAACTCTGCAGTTGGGCTAAAGACAAGCTTGCTCCTTACAAGGTACTTCAGTTACATTATCATGAAAGTTTTTGTCTTTCCAAAACACAATCCCAACACAGATTGAGTGATTCATCAAATTTCACAATCTTGAACGTTTGTTTCCGTTTTCATCTTCAGCTTCCGACGCGTTTGCTGATATGGGAGAGCTTGCCCCGTAACGCAATGGGAAAGGTGAGTGAGTTCATCATCGACGCCATTGCTGCAACAAAAAAAAAGGAAACTTTTCGAATGATACAGTTCAAACTTTAGACCCATTTTCTGAGTATTGTCTGGAATTTGCAGGTGAACAAAAAGGAGCTGAAGAAATCTCTGAATGCTCAAGAGTGAATGGTTTTTGGTTCAGGACAAGCATCCATTGCTTCTTGTATTTCTTGTGTTATTACCAATAAGGTATCACATATATGATTAAAACTATATATACACATTGTCCATATGGGTTTTTGGTACATTAAGTAAAAGATTATGTGAACCTAAAGAATAAGTAAAAGATATGTCAAAGCTCTTAAGGCAAATGCTTGGAGAGAAAACAACCAGAAAACAGATGAAGAACACAACCCTGTAATATGCTTGGAGAGAACAAACACACAATACATAAAAGACAGAAAAAAAAAAGGGACAAAAAAGAAAACACCAAACTATAAACCTATCTAAATTCCCAAATCCACACACCAACCATCTAATTACACATTTATATAAACATTTTAAAAAAACCCATCAAACCAGATCTTTTCACTCACAAGATCAAACACCAAACCCTAATTTTCCTCCCACTTTCATTTCTTGGGCTACAAGCCATATAGACAGCACAGAATGTAAACAATCTAGTTTAACTTATCTTCTTTCCCTTCCAAGCATTTCCCTGCAATATCATGCAATTCCTCCTCTTCTTTCACACCATTAACCCTACCATTCCTCAACTGATCCACCGCCGGACCGTACGCCCAACTACATATTATGTAATAGATCACGTTAACGAAGCTCAAGATCGCGAGAAGCCAGCAGTAATAATCGTAGTGACCCTTGTTAAAGTTGTCTGAAACCCAACTCTCTCCGCCATTTCTCGATGTAACGTCGTTTACAGCCCTGAGAATCACGCTTGCGAGGAGACTAGCCACTGCCATTCCAAGACCGAAGAGCGAGGCTGCTATGCTCGACATGCTTTTGGGAAACTCGGTATAGAAAAACTCGGTCTGCCCTATTGCAGTTAACGCCTCCGCCAGCCCGTGAAGTACGTACTGCGGGACGAGCCACATTGCTGAGATGTCTACCACGGCATGGGCATTGTCTGCGTAGCCTTGGCTTATCGCCTTTTTCCTTCTGAGACCCTCAACAATGGCGGAAGTAGCCATCGCTAAGAAGGAAACGAACAGGCCGAGCCCCATTCTTAGCTTGACGCTGAATCTAACAGGTCTTCCTCGGATCTTTGAAGCTAGAGGAAGGATTGCTCGGTCGTAAAGCACGACCCACATGGCCAAAGCTATGATAGTGAACAAACCGAATGATCCACCTGGTATTTGGAAGCTTGAGCTTTGGCTAAGACGCCTGTCCATGGAATTCGCTTGAATCAGCTGGAATGAGTTCTGGCTAGTGTTTATCGACATCATTATACCCGTGGACCATATCGGTATGACCTTGATCAATGCCTTTAGCTCCTCAACTTGATCCGTTGTGCAGAGCCTCCATGGGTTCAATGCAAAACCATCCGACCCAATTTCTTCCTCCCGGCTTCTTATAACACAAGCTTTGTTCAAGAACCTAAATCAAGAACAAGGATTACGTCTCTAAGATCGATCTAAACACACGAAAACAAAGAACTAAACTCGAAAAAGATCGAAACTTTACCTCAGTTTCTCGGTTGGAGCTTTGAGATCAGAGTCTTTCAAGTGATAGTAACAATCAAAGGAGTCGTCGTGATCAGGTAAACTCAGGCTTCTGTTCATGTAAGCAGCAACAATCACTTGCAGAAAACCGGTGAACAAGCTCTTCGAGGCATTGCGTTTAACGTACAAAGGAGAGGCGAGGACGAAGAACAGTAGGGCGAGGAGCATCAAGATTGCGGGAATTCCGAACCCGAGCCTCCATCCGAGATGATCTTGGATATAAACAATGCCCGTGAGCGCGATCAGAACAGAAACTGCAGAAGAAGCGTAGTACCATCCAAAGAAACTCTCAAGAACTCTCTCGTTCTTCGGGTTCTCTTTCTTGTCCAGCTGATCAGCTCCGAACGCCAGAGAACACGGCCTTATCCCGCCCGATCCGATCGATATAAGGGCGAAAGCGGAATATAAAAGTGCTAACTGAGACGCCGTCGGGGATTTGCAGACTCCGGTCGGGTTATTGCAGGGGGGAGGCTTCACTTGCGGTAACATTGCAGTTAGCCATAGAAGCAGCATTCCCTGTAACAGTCATAACATGAAAAACCTATGTAACTTGCAATCTTGTAATAAGGCATATATGCTAGAAACTTTCGCATAATCATTTCATTCTAGATTGGAATATCACATTTTGTTACAAGAAAAATAAACAATAAAAAACAATTAACGGGTATCATCTCTATATATATATATATATGAACAAAAAAAATTGACAAATATCCTTATGAAACGAGAGAAATTCTTCTAAAAAAACATATATCGTCTTATAATGACCACATACTCATACAAATCAGCCTAAGTTGCTAGTTTTATCGAGAGTTTTCATATAATCATTTCATTTCACATTTTGTTATAAGAAAAATAAATTATGTAAAAACAATTAATCGGTATCTCGACGTAAAATGTGTGACAAAAAAATAATTGTATTTTTGGTCCATATGGATGCATGATTTGACGAATGTCCTTAGGAAACTAACAAGAAGAAAAATCCGAGGAATATCAATATCAACCTTTTGTATAAATCTGCTTTGACACTAGAAAATGTGTGTGTGACCACTAAGAACATGTTAGGTGGCACGTAACGTCAATTGGCATTATCCTACAAAAATGTTTTCCCCGAGAAGAATAATAATTAATTATTTGCATTGTATTTTGAAATCGACGTGTACATATATCCACGTCACGAGATTTATCGTAACACCCATCAAGTGGTGTAATCGCAATATGTGTATATATATATATATATATATATGTATATGCATATGTATATAATATTCAAATTGCTTGACGCTAAGTCCATGGCCAAACATGGTAAAATATTGAATGCGGGCAGAAAGGTGGGTCCATGTAAACTTGACCAATATCAGAAGAGAAGAGAAAAAGCTTCCCATCCATCACATCTTGTCCCCATATATATCCAAACATATAAGATTACATGGGATCTAACATTTAATTTATTCATACTAATTATTCTTTATAACAATTCATTTTAGCTATTTCAATAACCGATTCGGTCACGGTTAAATCGATTAACATATAATATAATTGTATCAAAAACAAATAGAGAAGGTAAAAGAGAGCTTGTAACAAAATAAAGACGCTTTTAGAATAGAAATGATTTTTTAATATAAAAAAAAATTGAACAAGATGGTTAGACATTATTTTTATTTTCTTTTTTGATATCACCTTTTTTTAGTTCTAAAGTTAAATCAATAAATGTATTATTAATGTAACAAACAACGGATATCATGGGATGTGAGCACTGTGGTCACATCACTTGCCAGAGCAAAAGCACAAAAGGAAAAAAAATACAATTTAAATAACAAAACAATAAAGTAATGTTTTTGTTATTAGTGTTAAAAAAATATATATTTATTCACATGGACATTTCACAGAACACCTGGCTTTTGTTAGCAAGTTTTCTAAATTAATTTGATAATGGGCAAATCCATATTAAACTAAATAAAAAAATTATTTAAAAAAAAAAGATGTGATTTCATGGCCCACAGTATTTTTCATTGGATTGGGGGTTCAAAGGTCTCACATGCAACATGTGAAATTTCGCCCCCCGTAAAAATGTGACTTCTAACGAAACTCCTAAATACGCATTTTTACTGTGAGGAGGATTTAGTAACGTCATGCATGATGTCTTTTTTTTTAATAAATAAACTAGTATAAACTAAAAATGATTTAGGAAATTAATTATTAAAAAAACCCATCCTATTATTTTATATCATAAAACTTACTTTTCGATATTAAAAAATGGCCCAAAAAACCTCGTACCACTCCTGTCAATTTAATCTTCTAAATTTATTACATTCTTGATTCTACCAAACAGGTCTTTTTCATATCAAAATCTATAAAACGGGTGTTTTACTGTCTCGCCGATCATATGGATCAAAGATAATCAAATTTTTTTTTCCTTTTGTAACGAAATCGATTGGTCTCCGGATATGAAATAACCGGGAAACAGAGAATCTAGAGGGGTAAAAACTGTCAATTTTAAGGGTTTTACTGTTAAAATGATATTGGGTGAATCTAATGAAATCAAGATGGAGTTTTTTTTTTTATAAAAAGAAGAAGAAGAAGAAGAAGAAATACCATGAAACTGGAGAGAGAAGCAAAGGCGATGGTGAGGAAACGGCCCAAGTATGAATCCGAGAGGAAAGCTCCCAAGAGGGGCAAGAAGTTGGTAGCAGCAGACCACATGTACAGCACATTTGTCCCTCTCGCTAACCCGAACCCGTAATCTCTCATCAGATACATGATCATGTTCGGCAACAATCCATAGCTCGACACCTTCTCGAATGCCTCATTCGCTGGAGAGATAACCCAGAAACAAGATTAATCGAAGAGAGAGAGAGAGATGGAGATAGATCTGATAAAGGGTCTGAAATCGGTGTGTGTGTTTGTGAGTGAATTCTGAAAAGAATGACCCTTTTGAAGTTCTTCGTCTTTGTGCTGTCTTAAGGTATAATTACAGAGCCGTTGCGGTTCAGTGTAAAATCTGAGATGGGTCTGGTCTGAATCAGACATAAGAACCTGAAATTAGAGATGATGACGATGAATGAATGGATGTACCTATGATGAATGGCATGGTGATGAGTCCACCCTTTGTCCTTCCATGGCTACTGGGTTGATTCTCCTTCATTTCAGCTTGCTCTGGAGGATTCTCCATCTCTGATTATGGAACTCGAGAGAGAGAGAGAGAGATGAAGAAGGAGGAGGAGGAGGAGGAGGAAGAAGATCTTTGTCTGAGTGAGTGCTTGAATTAATGCGATCTTCTCAGACAGCGAGGAATCTCTGTTTCTGCACCGAGTGAGCACTAAATATGGAGGTTTTTTAACTTTAAAAAAAGGAAAAATAAATTAAATCGAAAATTTTAAAAAGAAATAAACAAAAAGTTTCATCAAACACATAAAGAATTTTCATAATAGTTAGTATCTCCATTATAGTTATTTTAAACCATTCAGGGATATTTTTTATTAAGGGATTGAATGGAATTGATTTTCCCGATTTTTAGAGGTTAAAAAATTAAAAAATCTCGAGTTATGATTTTTTTATTTTAATTTTTCTAAAAAATCGTTAATGTCAATTTTTTGAGAAATTAATTTAAAATCCAAAAACTATTCTTTTATAGATTTTAGAAATTTGATAGATTTTTTTATTTTTATTAAAAAATATAATTATATAAATTATTCTAAAGACAAAAATATCTATTATTTTAAAAATAATTTTACAAAGAAAACCATAACGATGCTTCCATGATGTATTTGGAGGAAATTTGAGATGAAATTGCAGTAATGTTATGGGATTCTCGAGAGTTTTTTTATTAATGTTATTATTAGAATTAATAAATATGATTTTTGTTTTAATGCGAACAACTTTTTTTGGTAATTTTTAAATATAAAATCTAAAATCAAAGACTAAAATATTATTTTTACCCGTCAAATTTTTTAAAAACTGTAAAAACTACAAAAACCAACAACTAAAATTAAAAACTCAAAATAAAAATCATTACCATTAAAGATCTTATTCTTCACGTTAAGCAATTATCTATAAATTTAGCAAAAAAAAACATATTGCAAAAGCAGATCACGGCAGTTACGTTTTCTATTAGAACATTCAGTTTTAGTTGTGACAAGTAAAAACAACGATAACGTAATCATCTTCTCTATTATTTTAATAAATAACGATCGGAAAACCATCGTAGATTAAATATAAATATTAACTAGGGATGCAAAATTATGATGATTTTACCCATCTATATATATATATATATATATATATATATATATTATTAGGGATATCCAATCAAATCTTTTGAAATAATCTACAATAACGTAAGAACCCATGTAATGAATTCAAATCTATATAGAGATATATACAGAAAATAAGGGGGGAAAAAAGTAAAATGAGAAAATAAAGCATACCCCTTTTTGAAAAAAAGATGAGTTTTCGAAGTCAAAATTAAGTCTATAGTTTGCTTCAATCCGGAAAAAAAAAAGGAAAAGTTAATTTCATGTATTGTAACCATCATGGAAGTTAAAAAGTCTTAAGCCATAATTAATACCTAATCATCTATATTTGTTATTATTATATAATTAAAATAAACTATCTGGTCGTTGTGGCGTCTTTCAGAATCTTAAAAATATTAGATTAAAACGAATATAACAAGTTTTATAAAAATAAAATAAATATAATTATGAAGAAAAAGATCACCAATGGCGTCATTAATCAAAATAAGTCATTGCATCTTCTTGGTCCAATCACAATATTCAAGTGGCATAAAATTTAGGTTCCTGACAAAGTGGTTGAAATTCCAGTTTGACCATTATTTTATTCACTTGCTGTGTAACAATGAAGAAAATAAAATCACAGAAAATTCTTATGTTAAATAATAACTTTTTATATTAAATATTCCCTTTTGAGTTGAGATCATAAAGCGTACTCTTTAATTTTAATTTTAAATATATATGAATTCTCAAATTTGTATTATTGTGTATATGGAGTTCAATATTCTTGGATTTTTTTTAGAATTTTATATAAAATTCCATCTATTAAATTTTATATTATTTATCGTTTATCTATTTGATTTATTTTTTAAAAAAGTTAACCTTCCTTTAAAAAACATTATTGAAAGAAATCATTTTATTTTTCTGATATACACGCTTAATATAATTTTAAAACTTTATATTCATCTAATTCTTACATCAAATTTAATCAATTGTTTCTAATCTGATTCGATTTAATGTTATATACCCACACCAATATATATATATATATATATATATATATATAGATCTGTG